TTAACCACACACGCTCCATCGATACTATGATAAATATTAAGTCACCCTTTACCTACCTTGTTAAGTCCAAGTTAGTGTGCCGGTTAACCACACACGCTCCACTAACGACTTAGACAAAGTGTAAAGTGTAATTTCATGGATTAGCACCTTATTCACATTTTCCTAAGTAACTAAGATTGGGTATTATTAAGAGTTTAGTTACTTAGTATTTATCATTAATACTTTTAATGAAGGGAGAATTATAGTCCTGTCAAACCCGTTCGGCTAACGACCCTCCACCAGTCAAGCAAGCGGTGGGTGAGAGTGGACACCCATTAAGTTGCCATTTTATAGGCAACAACCTTATACCCACCTTATAGACCGGCTTCGTGAATGAGGCGTACTAGCGGTAAGACTGACTTTACTCTTATACTATATATATATATATATATATATATATATATATATATATATATATATATTATTATTATAATATTATAAAGTATAAGGGTTGAATTTTAACTTTTAAAATTCTAAGGGCTAACTTGGAATTAAAGTATTCATAAGAGAAAACTTTACAAATTCCAAAACTTGAGGGCAAGTTTTGAAACTATTCAAAACTAATTAATTCCATAACTTATGTGTTTAAAGTAGTTTTAATCCAAAAACTCTTCAAGTTCCATAACTTGAGGACAAATTATGGAAGACTTTAAACTAATAAAGAATTAACTTTTCTTTATTTTATAACTTATGGAATTAATTAAGGTTACATTATTTTTATTTATTTATTTAATGAAGAGACTCTTGGTCCTCCATAACTTGAGGACAAATTATGGAGTCATAACTCCAATTAATTAGAACTAGACTCTTCATTTTTGTAACCTTTGCCAACTTTTATGAGTTTTATGAAACTTAAATGTGACTTTCATATAACTTGAGGACAAGTTACAAAAACACATTTTAGAATCAACTCTTAGATTAATTTGGATTGAAAACAACTATTTCATTAACTTTTCTATTAATCTAAGCAACTCATAAGAACAAGATAATTCAAATCAAACTTTTTCATGTAATTAGTCTAACCTTTAAACTAATACAAAACATGAATCTATTGACAATTATCTTTGAAAATGGATTAGCATGAACATTACCACATTAAAAAAACAAGTTTATAAGTTCAAAAACAACTTAGGGTAATGTTCCTAGTCCATTTCTAGCCAAAAACCTCGAAAATATTGTCTGGGGTCCAACTCGTCGAGTGCATGAACATAACTCGGCGAGTTGGATGCATTTTGCCTTGGACTCGTCGAGTCCCTTCATGGACTCGGCGAGTCTGCTGGGTGACAGCACCAATTTCGATTTTTCAGCTTCTATTGCAGTATAACAAGAAAACAAGCCTAGGCTCTGATACCACTGTTGGGTTATGAGCATTCTAACACTCCTAAGTGTACATGCAACCCTAAATACCTTGGATCTATGTTTTCTCTATTATACATGCAAATATGAATATCCAAGGTATTATCCTAAACTAGCATACAAAACTATCAATATAACAAGATAGAATACATACCTCTTTGATGGTGCTTGTCTTCATGAAGCTTGAGTGCCTAGTGCCCCAAGTGTGACACCTCAAATGGTTCACAATCATCAAAACACTTAGAATAACTTAGAGAGAATTCTACACTTCATGAAATCGGCTAGCCCTTTCTTATTCTCACTAGTGGCCGATTTTTTCTCAAGAATAAGATGCTTATATAGTTATACAATTAGGGTAAACCCTAATTGTCATGACTTTCCATTTCCTTGGATCCATGGGTTCAAATACACCATGGAGCATCTATGGAGCATCATATGGGTTTTGGCCCAACTAGATAATCCATGGAGCATTAGCCCACTATACAAGTATGGATGATTTACACAATCAACCCACATATTTAATTAGTCTTCTTTTGATCACTCAATTAATGTGTTAGATTAATTCTTGATCAATACTAATTAAATAATCTCATTATTCTTATTATTAATATACTAGAACTTATAATATATTAATAACCATAAGTGTTTTATTTCTCTCATTTAGTCTATCCAAGTGCATGATGGTATGCAACCCAAATGGACCATGTCGGGTCGGGTCAAGTCTTACCAATTATAGTTATGGACTTAGACATTAATCCAACAAGAGAATTGTTGTATCTCAAATTTGTTTGTTCTTACTCCTTTGGGAAGAGCTTGAATCTTAGTGGTGGATTTAACAAAAATATGTGGTGAGACTTTTGTTGAGTGAGATACCGCAGAGGATGAAGTAGTCACTTTATCCAGGATATTTACTTTGGGAGGTAAGTCAGGTCCTTCTAAGATTATCTCTTCATCAACATGGGGCTTTGGGGACATGTTTTGTCCTTCCAAAATGATTTCTTTGTCCACGTCTGATTCTGATCCAGAATACACAAAGTTTTCCATAATTACATTGGATATCTTTAAGATAGGCCTTGTCATTGATTGAGAAGTTAAAGGTCCTATTAAGTGTGTCAAGTGGGACATAGGGATGTTTGACATCAAATTGAGGTGGATATTTTCTCTCCGGCGTTGTATCCATTTGACCATCCCTAATTGTAAGTATTGTCTATATAACCATTATTGACTAAGTTTCCAACAAACCAACTCATGCTCAGCCCTAAAAATTGTGGATTTTTGTATATTTTTGCTCTAATGAGTTGACATAACGATTACAAGTAGCAATCACGCCAGTAAAAATAAAGGTTCTAAATAACGTAAGACGTCACTTGACGGTAATGTCAAGCCTCAAGCTTTTTTGAGCCTTGGCGAACTACGTCGTTTGTAAGGCGTGACTTAAGGCAGCAATTTTGTATATAATTAATATTTTTTTATGTATTTTCAACTATTATTCTATTTTTTACACATATATGAGTTAAGGCGGTGTTTTGATAAAGCTTGACGGTATGTACAAGCCTTGGAGTTATAGCGTGTCATGATGGAGCCATGACGAATTTTTTAGAACATTGGTAAAAATCTACATTTCGGAAGGTCAAATAAGATAATTGGCTGGTAACCGGCTAATCGATAAAAAGAAAATGAAGTTTTCTAAAAATTTATGACTTTTACATCACAAAAGATAAACTTAAATTAATTAATTGTAGATTTTTTTAGCAATAACCTAAAATTTATTGAAGTATATATAAAAAACCAAAATTTCTGGACCAACTATATGCAGTTGGGCAGGCCCATGTTGAGAAAGGCATATTTCAGCCCGGAAGTAAACAAGTCGAATGTCATGCCTGGGATTGATCTAGACCTATTAAATGAATTAGTATATTAACACAAGCGCATAACTACACCAAACTTTATTTATATAATAAGGGATATATACAGTAAAGTCCCAATATTTTCATCGACTTGACAAGAAAGTTCTAAACTTTATTTTTTTTGACAATAAAGTCCAAATTACTGGCAGTTTTTGACACTTTTACCCTTTTTTCCCGGTTAGCCGTTAATTAGGATTTTTTTGTCAAAGAAATAAATTTTAGGAGTTTCTTGTCAAATCGCCAATTAGGACTTTACTGTCAAAAAAATAAAGTTTAAGACTTTTTTGTCAAATCGTTGAAAATATTGAGACTTTAGTGTATAAATAATTTTTTTTGTTAGAAATTTAATGGTATGATACTCTTTAAGCATAAGAGTTATTGAAACTTTCACTAATCTGCTAGATCCTATTGAAATCATTAACGTTTGCTTCTTGTTAAATCATTTTTTTAATCACAACAAACCGACATTGAAAAAAATTGAGATAATCAAGAAAGAAAGAAAGAACTAGGGTTGTGTTGGCTTTTTGCAACCCCAAAAATGGAGAAATAAGAAACCGAAAAAAACGAAATTACCCTTCTTTCCCTTCTCCACACTCACACCCTTTTTACTAGGCATGAGTTAAAGTCGGGGCAATTTCGTTTTTTTAGGTTTCTAATTTCTCCATTTTTTAGACTGAAAAAAGCCAACACAACCCTGATTCTTTCTTTCTTTTTTGATTATCTCAATTTTTTTCAATGTCGGTTTATTGAGATTAAAAAAACGATTTAACAAGAAGCAAACGTAGAAAATTTCAATGGGATCTAACTTATTAGAGAATGATTCAATAACTCTTATGCTTAAAGAGTATTATACCATTAAATTTCTAACAAAAAAATTATTTATACACTAAAGTCCCAATATTTTCAACGATTTGACAAAAAAATCCTAAACTTTATTTTTTTGACAGTAAAGTCCTAATTGACGATTTGACAAGAAACTCCTAAAATTTATTTTTTTGACAAAAAAATCCTAATTACCGGCTAACCGGGAAAAAAGGGTAAAAGTGTCAAAAACTGCCGGTAATTTGGACTTTATTGTCAAAAAAATAAAGTTTAGAACTTTCTTGTCAAATCGATGAAAATATTGGGATTTGACTTTACTGTATATATCCCATATAATAATGTAGTTTTTTTTTTTAATATAACAATTTGGAAAATATGAACATCTGAATACAATACGTTTCTAGCAAATTTTGACATGCTAATTTTTTTTATCAAGCTTTTGAATTTTACTAATCTAATCTATCATAAATATAATACACATATTAAATGGATAATTCAAACAAATAAGACAAGTAACTAGTTCACTATTAGTGAGAAGTTTTTGGGTGTTATCAATACTACCAACGCATAATAATAACTAGGAGAGAGTCCATGCTTCGCATGGATTGGAAAAAATCTAGAGTTTTGCCATTTCCATATAAAAGAAGTGATAGCAACCTTAAACATGTGACAACGAAGAATTCCAATAGTGTAACCAGTAAAACGTTAAGAAAAATCAACGAAAAGGGTTAATTTTGTCAATGAATTCTTATGCAGCTGTATTTTTGACCTTGTAATTCCTCTTATTACTGTTTCGTATTGTAGACTTGAAGTTTGACGATAGAATTCTAGATCTGCTCCCTTTATTTTATTGTATTCTTCAAGGTCAACATCTATCTAGTATGTGTCATGCACCGTTTTCTGGACAATTTTTCTTGTCGAAATGATCTGATAAACCTGTGAAAATGATAATTTTTTTGTAGTTATAGTAGTAGCCCAAAAAACATGACCGTTAAAGTTTTTGTTGTCAAAATGGCATGAAATAACATCAATATTAGAACTAAACCGTATTTTGTACAAATAAAGTCAATATTATAGCAAAATCAAAGTGTTTTGTAACACAGCTTACAATGTAAATGACATTCTATAAAACCAATTTTCCTGAAAAAAAAAACAACCCAAATAAGCAACCAAAATATTCATCACATATTGCCTAAATATGTAGAAAAATGAAAGTTGGGTTTGTTGCCTAATTTGGTAAACATGGTAGAGTAAGTTCGATCCTTTTAGCTCATTCCATGTTTTTGTTTAGCAACATGGGTTGATGTAGGCATTTTTACTCTAAAATTCATGATTTGAGTACGAGTTGAGGCATGCTCAAATTGTTGACTCATTAACAACCTCACTGATGACTCAGAAAACATCGCGCTCCTTTTCCTAGATTAGACATCCAAAGCTCTACACCAAACAGAGTGGGATAGGTACAATTGAAAAGAAGGCATGGCAGTAATCATGTATATGATGATATTAATCTCTAGGAACTGGTGAACCAATTTCCTTTTAAAATGAGGTCATTTTGTTCCAAATTTGGTATCTTTGTGATTAACCATTTAAGAGCATGAAACAGATTTTTAGCATACCTGGTGGAGCAAAGTAAGTGCATGAAACTGTACAACTGCTATAACCAGTTTTAAAATTAAGGCTTAGTCACGTGATCAAATATTTAATCATTTTGCAAGTAAAAAAAATTGTATATATTAACGTATATTGCTATATTTATTATATTCATGTTCATAAACAACAAGCATCTGCTCCATTGGCAGGTGAATGCACAAAAATATCAATACTATCAAGATCCTTCTTTAGTTACTATGCAACTTTCTAAATTAAGGAAGAAAAAGCTATCAATAATTTCAAAAAACAAAAAAATTGCAAATAAATAACAATAGAGTTGGTATACATATGTAGAATCCAATTACTTGCACCCACATAAGGTTTATTTACTTAGGGGGTGTTTGGAAACACCCCTTTAATCTGTATAGATAAGGTCTAACTACATAAGGTTTATTTACTTAGGGGTGTTTGGAAACACCTCCTTAATCTGTATAAATAAGGTCAGTTAGACGTTTCTAGAATGTTTACTAATTAATACTTTATTATGACAATTATATGTATTATTAAATAATCTTCTGGGTTATGAAAAACGCCATGTAACAAAGAAATTTTAGTAAGCAGTTATATAGATTCTAAAACAGAATTACAGAAGTACAGAACTATATGGAACATGATATATAAAATCATTTCTTTTTTCACAAACGCGATTCAAAACATTCCATAATTCAATATCCAGAAACATAGGGGCAGAAACGTAAATTTAGTGGGGACTTTTAATAGCTACAATGGATACCTCATTCATTTAAAATGCATAATCAAACAAATATAATCAACTAATGAATTAGGTAAACTAACTTGGAACTAATACCTTAATCGGATCAGACATTTCATCGAATGCCTTATAGGCATGTTTATCATCTAAATGTAGTAACCTTGTTGAGTCTTTCCACTTCCCAAACCTGTACTCAACGTCTCCAACTAACCCATTCAAATCCTCCTGCCTTTGCAGTTGTAAAATTGATCTACAAAATTTAGAATTAGATCAAACCTGAACCACAAAATTTCCAATGCATAGTGAACAAATCGAAAATAATTTGCAAGGAACTGAGAAACCATGAAACCAATTCCACATCAGGAAAACATATTTTGGATATGGCTTCAATACCGTTATGCCAACAAATATGCGTTCCTAAACAAAAATTTGCAGATGAAGATGAAATCGTAACGATTTAGAGAAACAAAATCAACCCGAAAAAAAAACAAATAATTGAACCTCTAATTTGTAAAATAAAAAAGTTACCTGTGTCCTCGTTGTGTTGTTGCGACGGAGTAGAAAGTGCAGAGGAAATGAGGTCGATTCAACACGGATGGAGATACCAGATAAGGGAGGTGGTGGCGAGAATCTGATAAGGAGTCGGCATCGTTCGATTGTATGGGTCATGGTGAATAGAAATTGGAGAAAATATTTTTTGCCTCTCTCTTAATCGATTTCTGATGATAAATAGCACAACCAAAGACCGACCGGAGAAACAAAAGTTTATCTAAAGAATCAGAAATCAGCTTGCTGCCCACCATCTTTGATATTTTGATGGAGTTGAAAGAGTGAGAAATGAGGCGGTAGGGAAGGATTCGCCGGTGTGAATGAAAAGTAAGCAGATGGGTAAAGTGGATGAGAGAATGGGAGGCGGTGGGTTTTTGGGAAAATTGGAATCGGTGGCGAGGATAATGTACACGTGTGATAGTAGAATCAAAACTAAAGAATTCAATCTCAAGCTCAAGACTTTACAAGGGAAGATAGCTGGTAAGCTCTTTTAGTCGATCTAAGATGAACCAAACTGTAAATCACCTAAAAACTGTGACAAACGTATGTTTATAGTTTAGGGACCATTTATGCCAACATCTTAGGAACTTTACTGTTCTTAAGATTCATTTCCATTTTATATATATATATATATATATATATATATATATATATATATATATATATATATATATATATATATATATATATATATATATATTAATTTTATCAGTTTGGTTTAGTAAATGACAAAATATCAAGCCAAACTTATCAATTTGGTCAACTTTTTATGACTTCAATTAAATTCGGTTTGAGCTAAATTTTTTTTTAACTAAATACATATTTAATGTATTTGAATTTGTTTAAATTTGAATAATATATAAACTAGAAAAGGATTCCGGGCTTCACCCGGGTTAGGTAAGAATTTGAAAAAGTTTTTATTTACAACCCAAAGCATTATTTAATTTGAGAAAATAAGGTTAGCTATACTTCCATTTTCCTCGATGTTTCTGTAAAATGCAAAAAATGGCATTGCACTTTCTAAAAAAGAAGTTAATAGAAAGAAAACCTTTGAAAGGTCTCTCTATTTTTAGGAGATTTACATCCCTTTTGTTGAACTTCAAACCACTTACCAAAGAAATTCTTGAACGTCCCACCATAGTCTTCTTACCATAGGTCATACTCTGATCTTAATCATAAAAACAGATGAAAACAAATAGCAGCATATAGTCATCATGAAAGTAAAACAAAGAGTAAACTATTTCTAAAAGCTTCTAGGAGAAAGCCATTGTCTCAACTTCTCTTTAAGAAGTTCTTCCAGAAGCCAATTAATTGCATTATATGACTCCAATCTTTCGTATAAAATACCCTCTATCCCACCTCTTATAATCTGATACCAAGATGCAACAAACAAACTCTTAATGTTACGAAAATATTTCATTTTTATATAGTGTAATACTATTTATTACATAATAATTTCTTTCGTCTCTAAACTCACCCACTCCAGGAAGCAAATAAAACTCATCATTCAATCTCGTTCCTATCTCTGATGTCACTATCATTATCATTGGAAACTGTTTGCACACTACATGAACTCCTTGTGGTGCACCTTTGTTTAAAAGCAAAGAAATAACTTAAACAACTGAATTACCTGTTAACATAAAAAATTACTTCCAATTATCAATTATTACCACCACAAAATAATCCAACAAATGATAGAGTTGTGAAAAAAGTACAAAACTACCTATTCCTAGTATAGGATCCAACAACAACACGTACCTATCAGAAATGTCTTGTGGCAGTTTTTCATATATTAACTGCATAAAAAAAAGGTGTTGTTTTAAATTATTCTACAAATTTAAATAGTAACCTTCACTCTTTCTAACAAACCTGTTACCCATTGTCACCTTCTGATTGAATAATACCTTTATGATCTTGATACCTTTACAACATTGTGGTTTGATAGAACAATCTGAAAAGTGTGAATACGGGTCATCCATTTCCTAGTTAGTCCCTAAAAGTGTTTTATGTGATTTTAATCTAAATATATATGCACCGAGTTTAGAACCTAAAAGTGGGTCCAATATAAAAATTCAAAGAACATCTCTATATTTAGTGTGAATGTTTATGAATTTCAAGTTTTTCAAACCCACTGTTACCCACTAAGTTCTTTAATGATAATATATGCACTTTGTGAATCATACATAATTAAAAGACATGGGTTGAAAAGCATATCCCTTATATGGCTAAAGTAAACTTGGAACTGTAAAGTGATTTTCCATCACCGCCACCACCTTCTGTGGTAATAGTTTGTTCAATTTCTTTTTAAAAATAATAACTACACATGAATAAGTTTAGAAAATATATTAAAGAACATTAAAATCAATAGTTATTGCTGAAATAAGGAACATATTAATAAAATAAAAGTAAAGGAAAACAAAACACACCTCATAACAAGTGATACCATTTCTTCAGCAACCCAAACAGCTTTATCACAAAGTGCTTTCAAGGCCTGATTATTGTCATATAAAAATAAAATATGATAAGCACTAGACGTAAAGGTTAAAGCGGTCATTTACCAAAAATTGCAACTTCATCTACTGGATTGGTAGCCATCAAGCACTTGAATGGAAGCCTGTGTTTCCATGAAAAAACATGAACTCAGGTGATGTTAACAATCTCTAATTAGCATATGATCAATATAGTGAGGTATTAACCATAATGCTTATTTATTTTCATATTGTGAAATAGTATATACAAGAAAATTCTTTGTGGAGATAGCTTTTGCTTACAGATTAGCATTATAAGAAAACTGAAAGAGAAAAAAAAAAAAAACATCCATTAACATTATAAGAATAACATGATTTCTTTCATTGATATTCCAAGAACCATATACACATCAACAATCTATTCACAGAATCTTGTGAATGAAAGAGATAATTTGGTGACATACCTTTAAAACTCTTTGCTCCATGACCGAAGCAACATCCGGGCCTTTTGATTATGCTTATCTATGGAAAGTGTGAAAGATCAGATACATACATTACAAAGCAGGATTCATAAGCCATATGATATCCAATCAAATTTCTTTTTCCCATTTTAAAGAATAATTACCACCATAAGTCACCATTGGCGATCATCCTCTTGCTCTGGTACTCAGTTCACCTGTACACGTAACCCACAACGAAGAGGAACCTCAGATGATCAAAATTGATGAACGAAAAACTCAAAAAAAATTAATCAGTTGTAGGATAAAAATACTAAAAAAGAACACCAGAAAACAATTACTTGAGAAGAAGCCTCTCAGCAATGGCACAATAATATACTCTTTCACAGTGTTTTCCATAAGTGGTATAAAATCGACATAGATAAACCCTAAAAGATCACAAATCGACATGATAGAAGTCCAAAAGACATGCATATTGCTCCGAGCCGCACCTGACCACCAAATATTAAACTTCGAAGAAGCAGGGTCAGTTTGCAGGCTGGACGTGCAGCTGAAAGCATTAACGAACCAACGAAGGGAATAATCGAAGGAGAAAAGCAGTGCTAAAGGCTTAATCAGATCACCTTTTAGCTGAAGTGATTGAGCGGTGAGAGTAGAATCGAGAAGATATTGATCGGTGGAGGAAGTAACTAACCCTAGTGGAGTGATTAAAGCAGTAGGTGGTGATCTCTGATCGAAGGTGGTATGGGGTTTTGAGGTCGTGGATCGGTAGATTAAAGTAACATCAGTGTTACCTGGAGCAAAACCACTGGACAACTTGAAGCGGTGCATTGAGAATACACCATGCAAACACGTGTTCAAGAAAGTAATCTTGTGGTAAAAGTCTGAACCATTAAAACTTTAAGGGACCAAATTGTCAATATGACAAACTCTTTTGAAAAAAGTTTAAACCATTGAAAATATGTAAAGTTGTGGACTAAATTTGCCAAAACCTTAGAAACTTTACTCTTCCTAAGGGGTGTCGTACTTTAATATATACTAGTGAAGAATCCCGCGTTGCGTGGTTGGAAGATATTTCATAGCCTTTTATTACTGTTACAAAATATTTATTTATGTATGGATGAGGAGCTATTTACAAATCTGACCACATTTACATGTAGAAACGTCTTTTCTAATCACAACTTCCCCGATTTTTTCTCATTACGACATTGTAGTTTGAAAAACGCAATTATATCCTCACGTGTTGCTGTTTGAATGGTCAGGATTGATTTGAATATGCGGAAATCTTTTTATATCATCAGGAGATGAAAAAACAAAAAAATTGAACTACATTGCTTTTTGATGCTAAAAATGACATTAAAGCATTGAAGTAGTATAGTGCAAAAATAACAACTGGATCCCCAACATGCAACACACAGTGAAGGATCAATCACAAAATCGAAAACAACAAACCATAAATTAGGAAATATTTGGGCTCAAACCTACCTAAATCAGATACGGGTTCTTCAGTTGAGGGAGGGACATCAACTTAAGTTACCTAGAAAGATCAAAACCGAGCAACTTCATATTAAAAAACTGTGAAGGCTTTATGTTCTGTCCAGAACTGAAAGTGTGGTTTAGATTGTAGCTAGTAATTTTGTTTTAAAATATTACAAACAATAGGTTTGTAAGTATTACATTTTCATTGCATTATATAGCAATTTTTGAAACAGTTTCCTTTTTTTAAAGAGTGAAAAGGTCAGAGCAATGTACCCCTTTTGTCCTTTGTTTTACTCTAATTCCACAGTACAAAAATAGCTTTCATGTTCGCCCATTTCAGCTTCTAAATTGGCAGACAATCTGTAACGCCCGGGTTTCAGGGCTAAGTATTTTAGATGATGTAATAGTCTAGGTCAACTATTGTAACTCATTTTGAAGTAATAAAGATGAAATATTTGAGTATTATGTGAATTATGTGAATTTTTATGCTTATTATGTATTTATAAATGTTTAATAAATAAAGAATAAAAATAAGTGTCAAAATTGAAGTTTGATATAAGCCCGATAGCTCTACATAAAGTTGTAGTGGTCGAAACAAGGATTATGGTGATATAAAGAACGCCGAAATCCGAGTTATAACGAAGAAGTTATGACCCGTCGAAGTTTCGTGACGGAACTGGCATGATACCGGGAAGCGTAAATAGTGAATTTACGATAGATCGAGTTTTAGCCTTAGCGGTCTAAATGAAAGTCGTAGAGTGTGTTAAAATAAGAGCGTCGATAAAAAGAACGCCCAAATATGACTTCGTATGAAGAAGTTATGATTTTTCGAAGTTTCGCCTTAGCAATGTACAACCCGAAATTCGAATAATAGATCGAGCAGATTTTTTAGCCGACATGACCTAAACGAGAAACGAAGATCTCGTTAAGAGTAGCGTAACGGGAAAAATATGGACGAAAACAGATGTCGGAAGAACAAGTTATGAGAATTTAACAGATCAATCATGTCCCAACCTGTTAATAATGTAACTTCTAAAATAAAGTCAAAATTAGCCGATAGAGTCTAAACGAAAGTTGTAGAGCACACTCCCACCTTAGTGTGGATATAAAGAATGTCGCAAACGGAGATCGTACGCGAAAGTTACTAATTTTTAAAGTTTATGGTCGAATTTCTGAAGGTTGATAAAAACTTGGTGACGTGTCGCGTTGTGGGTCGTCCATCGCTGATTAGTGAACGCTTCGGATTCGAACACGCCTCCCTTCACTACGCCCCGTGTCCGAGGTTGGTACGCCCATCATACCTTCGCTCCTTACCCATCCGACGGAGATGCGAGACAGCTGGTTGCAAGTTGGCGATCTTATCCGAAGACTACTCCTCGCGTAGCTTCTCAACGCGCAGCGTAACCGAGGCTGTTGGGCACCATTCTCTTTCTCTCTCTAAATTACTTTCTCTCTCTAAGGGTTTTAACCCTACCCTAAGCCTAGGTGATCCCCTAGAACCCGAAGGAAGCCCCAAGGCTCTCGGAGTCCTGAGAAAAAGGGTCTTTATGTTTCGGAAACGCTGATTCGAGCAAAGCCCGGTTTTCTTTAAAATCTGTTGTAAGTCAGCTACGCTTACGCAATTTTTAATATAGCTTTCAAATAATTGTATTAATGTTATTAGGTCCTTAAAATAATTATTTGAGCTATTAATATGAGTTATATTGAGTGTTATGTAACGCTTATATAATAATAATAATAATAGCTAAACTATTAAGTAGTCGTAGTTGACGTTATACTAAAACCCTAGTGGTATTGATACTAGGTTTTTTCGAAGGACAATTGTTTTGAGAGTATCAAAGCGATGTTCGAGTGCTAAGTCACCACCTTTCAAGTGAGTGCATAGTTACTTTCATCTTACACATAGATATGAAGCATTTTATATATTACGTGCTATGTGTGCATATTATCTATGTACTTACTATCTATGTTGGATAAATGTTTTTATACAAGTTTTAAATGATTTAAACCGTATATGCATTTTATATCTACAAAAATGTTGGGGTAAAACATGGGTAGATATAATAAGACGATGTGTGATAAAATGATGAGAGGCCTCGATGTTGGTGTTGTTGATCCAGTCATCTAGTGGAGTATAGATGACGACCACGGACTCTTCTAGACAATCCAGTGGAACGCTGGCAAGCTCGCAACCTGTAGGTGTTGTGAATGATGTGTTCACCAGTGTACTCCATCCCCCACATGGTTTCCTTAGGACAATTATTGCCAAGGAAACCCCTTAGCAGGAGTGTCTATCCCGATGATGATCCTTAGGAAAGGTCCCTTATGATAGGTGTTCAGGGACCTAATGTGAGGATAACGGGAACGGGTAATCGGGTTATTGTTGGTTGATGAAATTAATAAACTTATTTATCGTGGGTTGAAAACCTTATGTGCTCACCAGGCTCCCAAGCCTGACCCACTCAGTTTTATGTATTACAGGTAGTGGGGCTCAAGCATAGTTGTGATGTGTTGGGATGAGGGATTACGAATATAGGCCTGTAGATATGAAATAATGTAGTAAGGCTTATATTGTAATGTTTATACTTATGTATTGTATTGAACATGACATCCCGAGTCTTTTAATGAAATACATTTCTAAGGAAATGCTCTTGATAAATCTTTATCATATTATTGTTTTGGGACAAATTTCGCAACTCTTTTATTGAAAGGTTACTCTGATTTTGAAATAACGTACAAACAAAACCGGTCTTTTGTGGCCGTGATTTTGGGGATGTCACAGTCGGTATCAGAGTATTAGTTTAAGCGAACTAGGAATTTGTAGGATTTCTAGACTTAAACTTAGAATGCTAAGTGATGATTGTGAGGTGTGAGCACTAGCTTATTTTAGGAATTGTTCCTAAAATGCTTTTATGTGCTAAATGCTTTGTGTCTGATATGCTGTTATTTGTTCGGATATATGGTCTGTTGCCGACCGGATCTGAAAACCTTATGTGTTTAGGATTCTAAACGTACGAGTACGATATTAGAACTATCATATAAACGTTTCGGAGTGATAAGGATGATTTGAACGTCTATCCTAAATAAAGATCTAAATTCACCTTATTCGGTGTATATATCAAAATGACAAGAACCAGTAGTAGAGTTGGGAATGCGAATGGAAATACGAATCAAGCCTCAGTGATTCAGCAAATACATGTAGTAGAAGTTGACCAACATTCAATAGTTTATGTGGATGGGTATTTTGTTTTTTTTTCTTTTCTATTATCATATGCCTATGTGTTGTTTTGAGTTTTCTTGGTGTTGAAAGCGTGAAAATGTTTATTGAATTGATGGTGAAATTGGTAAAATAATAAATTTTACCAAATTTCAAGAAGAAAAAATCATCTAAAACTATATCATTATCCTGTTTGCATTAAGTAAAAAACAATAATAATAGAGAGACTAACCTGGAGTTGGTCTTCACATATTTTAAGTTATCACTATATTCTCTCATATTAAAAAAATATTTATGAAGCTGCACGAAAAAAGACATTATACAACATGAGTAAATTATAATAATAATAATAATAATAATAATAATAATAATAATAATAATAATAGAAGCACCTTAATAAATTGTTCCTTACGATTTGAAGTGAGCTTTTTAGCAGTTGCAAGTGCATCCCTTAATGAAAAACTTATGAAGGGTAGAATTGTAATTTGGTGTTCACTATGAGGATATTATAACACTTGGGACTTTTCTTGCAACATAGATACATGATAAACTTTCTTTTCTAGAAGCTTTTCCATGTGATAAACTTGTGTGATGCAAATTTAATATTAAGAGGAGTATAACATAAATAAAAAACTAAGTTTTCTTTGGTTGGATAGAATGGAATCCAATGGAATTGGGAGTGTAATGGAATAAGTAAGATCATGGAATGACTCATTTCATTCCATTTATCATGTTACGTGTAGGAATCGAAAGATTTTTTCACTGTTGAAATGAACTTCACAAAAAAAAAAAAGAGAAAGAATCAAGAAATCAACATCATAGTTTAAGAGTTCAGTATTATTTAACTAAACCTATCATTTCAGCAGTAAATTCTATCCAATTAATGCTTATAAAGTTATTTTAAGATCCATTTTATACAATTCAATGTTGTTAGATATTTGATACATTCATACATGTCTTGTCATAGGATTAAAATACATGTTGTCAATTGACAAGGTTCTGATGTTATCAAAATTACACTGATATCAAACTTTAGTTTGCATAAACTATCTTTAACAAATTGTATTACCCATTTACATAACCTTTTCCTTAGAGTCTTTATATTCTTGATGCATCAAGTTAGATTAATACAGAT